TCCCACAGACCTGATCGCACACACGTGCTCACCGCTGCCTGTCCCACACCTGATCACACACACGTGCTCAATGGTGGCCTTCCCACACCTGATCGCACACACGTGCTCACCGCTGCCTGTCCCACACCTGATCACACACACGTGCTCACTGATACCCGTCCCACACCTGATCGCACACATGTGCTCACGCTGCCGTCCCACAGACCTGATCGCACACACGTGCTCACCGCTGCCTGTCCCACACCTGATCACACACACGTGCTCAATGGTGGCCTTCCCACACCTGATCGCACACACGTGCTCACCGCTGCCTGTCCCACACCTGATCACACACACGTGCTCAATGGTGGCCTTCCCACACCTGATCGCACACACGTGCTCACCGCTGCCTGTCCCACACCTGATCACACACACGTGCTCAATGGTGGCCTTCCCACAGACCCGATTGCACACACGTGCTCACTGATACCCGTCCCACACCTGATCACACACAAGTGCTCACTGGTGGCCTTCCCACAGACCCGATCGCACACACGTGCTCACTGATACCCGTCCCACACCTGATCGCACACGTGCTCACTGATACCCGTCCCACACCTGATCACACACACGTGCTCACTGGCGGCCTTCCCACAGACCTGATCGCACACACGTGCTCACTGATACCCGTCCCACACCTGATCGCACACACGTGCTCACTGATACCCGTCCCACACCTGATCACACACACGTGCTCACTGGTGACCTTCCCACAGACCTGATCGCACACACGTGCTCACTGATACCTGTCCCACACCTGATCACACACACGTGCTCACCACTGCCCATCACGCACACCTGATTGCGCATACGTGCTCACCGCTGCACGTCACACACACCTGATCGCACACACGTGCTCACCGCTGCACGTCACGCACACCTGATTGCACACCCGTGCTCACTGCTGTCCATCATGCACACCTGATCACACACATGTGCTCACCACTGGCCATCACGTGCACCTGATCGCACACACGCTTGCACACACAAGTGCTCCCTGCTGGGTCAGACGCATGATCACACGTGTCCTCATATCTGGCCGGTTCCACATACCTCATCACACGTGTGCTCACCTCTGGCTTTTGCCCAGCAGACGGCCGTCGAGGAGTGGGTGCGGTCCTACAAGGAGGACCGGGAGCTGGCCTTGCTGGACCTCATCAGCTTCTTTGTCCAGTGCTGTGGCTGTGAAGGTGAGCCGGGCTCCTGGACGCTCGCGAGCGTCACCATACGGGGGTCTGCTGGGCCTGCCCGTCCTGTCCATGCATGTAAGAGACTGGGCGGGCTGGGCTTTTCCAGAGGCTTTTATCGGTAGGAGACTTGTCTGTGTGAGCACGGTTACCTCAGAGCAGAGGCTGACTGCCCGAGAAGAGATCCGTCCACGTCCTGACCCTAGGACCTCAGGATGTGACCTCGTAGAGAAGGACCTTTGTGGGTGTGAGCAGTAAGAGATCCTTCGGGGGGCCCTAGTCCTGTGAGACTTGGTCCTCGTAAGAGCAGGGACACGGGGGCCTGAGGGGTTCAGTCTCTTAAGCCTCTGAGTCTCGTGTTCGGCTCAGGTCGTGATCTTTGGGTTCTGGGATCACGCCGCAAGTCAGGCTCCGCGCTCCGCGGGGCGTCTGCCTGACATTCCCTGCCTTCCTCTCTTGCCTCTCCTGCTCGTGCTCACTGTCTCTCTAAAATAAATAAATAAAACAGTAGGAAAAAAAGAGGAGGGACAGACACAGAGGAGAAGCCACGTGAGGACGGAGGCACGGATGGGAGGGACGTGGCCACCAGCCCAGGGATGCCCAGAGCCCCAGAGGCTGGAAGAGGCAGGAAGGACCCTGCCCTGGAGGCTCAGCTGCTTCCCAGTTGGGGGTTGGTGTGGGTGGGCTTTGCCAGAGGGCCACACTGTGGTCCGTGGCAGTTCTGTGTCTCCTGTCTGGCGCCCATGGACGGGCTCAGCGCTCCCCCAGCCATGTGCAAGGGGGTGACGAGACTCTCAGAGTGTGAGAATCACTCAGGGGAGAGCGTGAGAATTACGGCAGGGAAACGCCAACCCCCGCGGCCACAGGCGTGGACGTGAGACTCACGGTGCTCGGGGAGAGATGCAGATGCCACGGGCCACACGGGCTGTGCACAAAATGTCCAGAACGGCATATCCGCAGGCGGGCGGGGTCTCCGTGGTTCCTGGGGCCACGGAAATGAGAGGGGACCACCCACGTGTGGGGGATGGAGGCTGTGGCGACGGGCAACCACGGCATGTGTGTGCACCACGGAGGTGCATACTGTGAGGGAGTCTGTTGTACTGTGTCCTTGTCCGTTAGCCGTCGGCACCAGCAAACAGCCGGAGCCTCCCCTCCCTCTGGACCCTGACGCAGAAGCTGTGGGGGCAGGACCTGCCTCTGGAGAAGGTCCAGTGGTGTCCGGCCGGGCGCCCTGAGGGTGCCTCACAGAAGCCCCGTGGTGACAGACACGCAGGGCACAGTGCCTGCGGACCCCAGCCGCAAAAGCTGCATTCCGCGGCTTTGCCGTTCTCTCTCGGGGACGAGGCGTCATGCCCTGGGACAAGGAGGGTTGGCTTCAAGCATGTTTCCTTCTTTCTCTCGCAGGGATGGTGACGGCTGAGTTGTACCAGAGCAACGAAGGCAAGAAAGTGGTGCACAAAATGACAGAGAAGTTTGACCAGGTGGGATGGGCTCCGGGCACCCCGTGAGACTGGGGCCCGAGGTCGGTGCCCTGGACCCCCCGGGCACGTGGGTTTGCAGTCAGGCTCGGGGGTGGGACGAGCTGAGGCATCTCCATCTTCCGGCCAGAAGCTGTCCTCCTCTGCTTCCCTGTGAGGAGAGGCTGCCCAGGGCTTCGCGGGCAGGACCACGTTTCTTTATAAAGAAAACGTGAACGTGAATCCAAGGTGGAACTCTGTCCTGCACGGCAAAATGTGGCTATAAAACGGCACGCAGGTGGCCGTCGTGGAAGGGAAGACACAGAGCGAGGCCAGCGGGTGCCCAGACACGCCCTGTGCCCATCCTGAGCTCCTCCCCGCGGTGGGAGGACTGCGGTCCTGAACTCGGTGCTCACGGTGTTCCCGTGCTCGGGCTCTGGTGCCGCAGGGTCCTGCGCGTGCCAGTCGCACTCGGCCGGCTTCCAGCTCCGGGCCCGGGAGGCACCGTGCTTGGGGCGGTGTCTGTGAAGCTCTTCTGTCCCAGGCACACACGATTTAAGGAACAGTTTGTATACACGTGATTCCTGTCCAGTAAACGTCCGTGTCGTGGCTGTGGAATGTTCCATCGCATGTGTGTGCGTGGGTCACGTCCCCATTCTGCTTCAGACAGCGTCCGGTTGGTTTCGGGCTTGGTCTGTGTGTGGCTGTGGACGTGTGTGTGTGGGTCCTACTGCACGTGTCCCCTGTTTGCGTGTGACAAAGGGTCAGAGTGCATGCTCGTTTTGCTTCGTGCTGTGATGCCGACTTGTTCTCACGGCCTCTCCACGTGTGTGTGAGGCTGCGTGGGTCCGCCCCCGTCCGTGTTGGATGCTGCGTCCGTTTTGCCAGTGCACGGTTCGGGTCCCCGGGCTGCGAGTGACCTCACGCCTCGTTGCATGGAAAGGCCGTTTTCTCTCGTTGCGGATGTTTTTTCCGTTGTGGTAAAGGACACCCATTTACACTTTGCTGTCTTAACCCTCTCGAGCGCACAGCTCAGTGGCACCGAGTGCATTCACGCTGTTGTGCGACCATCCCCACATTCCGGCTCCGGAGCTTTCCATCTTCCCGACACGAAGCTCTGCCCTCACCAAACGCCGTCTCCCCATCCCCGTCCCCCAGCCCCAGGCCCACCGTCCACTGTCTGTCTCTGTGGATGGGGCTCCGCTAGGGACCCTGTGTACGTTGAATCAGGCAGGGCTGGTCCTTCTGGGTCGGCTGATGTCCTCAAGGCCCAGCCACGTCCCAGCAGGTGCAGAACGTCCTTCCTCCTCAAGGTGGCGTCTTCGGCCGCTGTGTGTGTGGATCATACTTTGCTGATGGACTCATCCTTTCAGTGAACAGACGTAATATCTACAAAATTTCTCACAGCCTAAAATACTTAGAAAGTGTCTCCAGAAAGTCTTGGGAATCAAGTCCGTGAACAGTGACTTTTTCCTTTAACTTTTTATTCGTAACAACGTCAAACCTAAGAAAAGGGGAGGAACACATAAGCTTCACCTGTGTTCAGCAGCTAATGCTCTCCCGTCTTCACCATATCCCCATGCCTGCCCGTGTGCCTCTGTGCCATGCATGCACACGCATGTGCGTGGTACATGTGAGTGAGCCAATGCACGTGTGTGTGACGTCTTTCTCTTACCCCCATGCACGCACGTGTGCCTCTGCCATGCATGCGTGTGTATGTGGTACATGTGAGTGGGTGATTACACGCGTGTGTGCTTTCTCTTATCCCCCATGTACACGTGTGTGCCTCAGTGCTGTGTACGCACACGTGTGTATAGGATACGCATGAGTGAGAGATTGCATGTGTGTGTGTGCACTCCCTTCACCTTTTCCCACATGCGTGCATGTGTGCCTCTGCTGTGCTTGCACAAGTGTATGCACGGCACGTGAGCGAGCGCATGCGTGCACACGTGTGCCATCTGCAGCTTACCCCCCATGCATGCACGTCTGTCTCCGCCATGCACGCACATGCGTGCACACTCTGCACACGAGGGAGCGAGTGCATGTTCGTGTGCCGTCTTCACCTTATCCCCGTGTGTGTGCCTCAGTGCTGCACACACACACACACGTCAGCACTCTACACATGGGCGAGCGAGTGCATGCGTGCACTGTGCACATGTGAGTGTGTGTGCAGGTCCGTGCATGTGCACACCTATGTTTGCCCCTCTGTGTGTGTTCACCACAGTCACTTGCGAGGGGCCTGCAGACTGACCTGGCCCTGGCTGTGTCTGGTGCGTGACAGTGAGCACTCCCATGTGACCGTGGTCCTGTCCTCTCTGGGGCACTCCGAGCTGCTGGAGGGCAGCGTCCGTGTGAGGCGTCTGTACATATTACCATGCCTGTCTCAGGAATGTCCTTCACGTTCTGTCTGTCCCATGCAGGGTCCAGCTAAGGACGCCACGTGACACTTAGCTGTCCGTCCCAGAGCTCTCTTGAAGCCCGCACGTTCAGCATGTGGCACGTTCAGCATGTGGCACGTTCAGCATGTGGGAGAGCCCAGGCCCGTAGTTGAGGAGGACGCCCCTACTTTGCTTCCGGCCTGAGTGTCCCTGAACTTAGCTCCTTCCTTGGGATCACTCAGCACGGCTGACTCCATTGGGCCTCTTTCCTCGGAGAGCCCCCAGTGCCAGATCAGGGTCCCGTTCAGTCTCCCCCACCTCAGGAGCAGCACTGGGGGCTTTGCCGACCCCCAGCCTGTGTGCCTCATGGGAGAACCTGCGCTTCCCAAAGAGCACACCCCTGGACACGTAGGGAAATGCTACAGCGTGAGGGCCCACCACGGGTGGGGTGACATGCACGGCCACGGCACTGGCCGTATGCAGCCGTGGCCACGGAGCGTGAGAGGCTCCGACGCTCCCGAGTCCTCTGTGCAGACTGGTGTCTGTGCCATGGCATCTCCCCATTCTGGCCTCTAGAGATGACACAGCGCATGCTCCAAGTGTCAGTTGAGTCCACGAAGGGGCTGAGTGCCACAGATAATCCGTCCGTGCCCCCACGAGGGCATTGATGTAGAGGTGTCCGTGGACTGTTTTTGTAGAGATGCATCCTTCATGCTGTTGGCTGCTTGGAACCATTCCCCACCCGCCCCCCCGGTACCCTCCACGGGCCTCGGCCTCTGGGATCCGCCAGGGGAGGCGGACCAGCTCCGGTGCCCCATGCCTCACAGCCCGTCCTGCTGGGACCCGCTGCAGGTCTGGGGACGAGGGACTTCACCGGCACATCTCGTCTGTCCCTGCAGGAGACCGGGCTGTATTACAAGAAGTTTCTGGCCTACCCCTGGATCCTGACCATCATGTGGCCCGAGAAACTGGTAACACACATTCCAGAGTTTACGAGTGGGGTGGTTCTGTGTGGTTTCCCAGCCCGCCGGAGGCCAGCGAAGCCCCGGGTTAGTTCCTGTGCCGTTCTCAGCGTGGGGTGAGCGCCGTGATCACCGACAAGGGACTGCGGCCGCGTGCCTGGCTCCCACGAGAGCCACACTGAGCTGGCCCTGGGGACAGGCTTCTGCCGGCACTGTGCGGGCAGACCTCACCGCGTCCACCCTGCAGCGAGGCAGGGCTCGACCAGACCTGACCCCACCCTGTCCACACTGAGTGTCCACACTGAGTGCGGTAGAGCTTCCCAGTCTTGTCCACAGCAGGATAGGACTTGACCGCACTCAGTCCACGCTGAGTGCACTTGGGTCCCATGGCATGCTGCTTCCGATGAGAACACCGGGCTCTGCACCACGGGACCGTTAGGCCTGACCTGTCCTGCAGAAGTGAGTTCATCCAGTGAGTTCTGTCTACACTGGGACATTTAGACGGGAGCAAGTTCTGTCTACACCGGCACGTTTAGACCTGACAGTGTTCCTTCTATCCTGTGTAATGGGAACTGAATTTTCTGTCTACACTGGCACACTTAGGCGGGATTATGTTTTGTCTATACTGTGTCATGGAGTCCTAATGTGTTCTGTCTACACTGACACATTTAGACCAGAGTGTGTTTTGTCTACACTGGGACATTTAGATCAGAGCATGTTCTGTCTACGCTGACATATTTAGACCTGACAGTGTTCTTTCTACTCACTGTTATTGAAATAGACTCTTCTGTCTACACTGGCACATTTTCATCTCACACATGCTCTGTCTACATGGGGATGTTTAGACCGGACAGTGTTGTGTATGCTGCATCATGGAGCCCTAACTATGTTCTGTCTGTACGGCATCATGGAGACCTGTGTTCTGTCTGCCCTGGCACATTTACGCCTGATCGTGTTCTGTCCACACTGTGTCATGGAGACCTGTGTTCTGTCTGCCCTGGCACATTTACGCCTGATCGTGTTCTGTCTGCACTGGTGAATTGAGACTGGATCTTGTTCCATCTACACTGGCACATTTAGACCCGACCGTGCTCTCTGTACTCTCTGCTGTAGTGTGCGTGTTGTTGTCATGGGCACTGTTGATATGACCCAACCAGTTAAGGGCGTCTGGGTGGAGAAGGGTGTTTGGGGCACCGTGTGGCTGGCCTGTGACGCAGATAGTGCAGGTGTCCTGTGGGCTGGAGATTCACCTGGTGCCCCTCACATCATTCATTTCTCACCATCTTGGGTGTGCAGATGAGGTAAAGTGGATTCGTGCACTTCACAGAGAGGGCAGAGGAGGTTTTCTCACAAACTGCACTGACTTAGCAGTGAGGACCGACCTTGCAGAACCAGTTACTGACCGGTCTAGCCTCGGAATGGGGGGTTTCGGGACATGTTTGTAAGTGGTTAGTGACCTGGTCTAGGCTCAGAACGGGGGTTTTCGGGACATGTTTGTACCTGATTAGTGACCTGGTCTAGCCTCGGGATGGGGGGTTTTAGGACATGTTTGTAACCCGGTTAGAGCTGTGGCCTCACCTCTCAGGGACTGACTGAAGGTGTAGAAGCCTCAGCTGGCCTCAGGGTTTTTGAGGCTGGGGTGTCCTGTTGAGGCTGGCTTGTTGGAGCAACTGCACTCCCCCCACCAAGTCTGATCGCCAGTCCCTGGCAGGGCACCCCTCCCCCTCACACCGCAGCAAATGGGGAGGGGCTCAGTAGGTTGGGGGAGAAGAGTGGGAGCCAGTCGCCGGGGACTAGCGCAGAGAGAGTGATGTGTAGGAGGGAAAGTATGGGGGATGGGCACACAGGTCCCAGCATGGAGGAGGAGGGTTGTGCCGACAATGCACTGGGGAAGGTGGGATGCGGAGCGTGGGGGCCCTGGCATGGGGGATGGCACAGGTGGTAGGGCACCGTGTGTGGGAAGAGGTTGTGCAGGATCTCGTGGGTCCCTGCTTGCACGGGTGAGTGTGAGCGAGGCAGGGAGCTGTGAACGCAGCCCCACACTCTGCGGAGTTGGGGATGCGGACCATGGGCGGGGGGCAAACGGCCGCACGTGGGGGTAGAGCGTGACGGGTGTGCAGCATGCGAAGAGCACAGAGTTGCGGCATGTCTGACCCTCGGTCATCCTCTGGGCACCCCCAGGCTGGGCACTTTGCGTCATCCCCCTGCTGGGTTCTGGCCTCCAGCCTCAGCCTCCCTGCAGGGCTCACCGTCCCTGAGGGGTCTCGCGCAGGCTGTGCAGGTGACTCAGACTGTCCGTATGCGTGACGGACGCCAGGCTGGAGGGGTTCCCATGAGGAACGTCTTGCCACGCGCGCACAGAGGCTGGAGGCGGGTTCCCCCGAGGAACCCTTTCCCGCGCGGGCGCAGAGAGGCTGGAGGCGGGTTCCCCTGAGGAATCCCTTCCCGCGCAGGTGCAGAGCGGCAGGAGCCGGGCCCTCCACTGGCCTGCTGGGCACCCGAGGGAAGGAGGCCGTGAGGCTGACGGGTGGCGGGTTGGTGCGGCGGGCGCGCCCACAAACCCGCGGGGTGAGCCGGAACCGAGCGGAAGCCGGGCGAGGGTCCGATCCGTGCCTGCTCGCTGTCCTTCTGGCTGCCCTGAGCGCCCGGAGACCCGGCTCCTTCCCACATGAGGGGGTCCGCCCAGCGCAGCCTCCGGAGCAGACGGGAGGGGTGGGGGGTGCAGGCTGTGGGGGCGGGCGCGGACCCTGCTGGGTGTGCTGTGTGACCCCAGGTTCCGGTGTCAGGGTGGTGGGTCGCTGGGCCGGTGCGTAAGTCTGAGCTCTGCCGGCTGCAGGGTCCGGGAGAGTGGGGGTCACTGCGGTGACTGCGGATATGTGCGCCCCCAGTGCGGGAATGGGAGTGGGGGCCCGGGGCCCCCGGGGTCAGAGTGGACGTGCGACCCCCACCCTGGAGCAGGAGCTCGGAGACATGGAGTCAGTCTGGGTCAGAGTGGACGTGTAACGCCCCAGGTGCAGGGTCTGGGAGATTGAGGGTTACTCTGGGTCAAAGTGGACGTGTGACCCTCTCCAGGTGCAGGGTTTGGGAGATTGAGGGTTACTCTGGGTCAGAGTGGACATGTGACCCTCCAGGTACAGGGTCTGGGAGATTGAGGGTTACTCTGGGTCAAAGTGGACGTGTGACCCTCTCCAGGTGCAGGGTCTGGGAGATTGAGGGTTACTCTGGGTCAGAGTGGACATGTGACCCCCCCCAGGTGCAGGGTCTGGGAGATTGAGGGTTACTTGGGTCAGAGTGGACATGTGACCCCCTCCAGGTGCAGGGTTTGGGAGATTGGGGTTTACCCTGAGAGTGGACGGGTCACCTCCTGTAAGTGCAGGGTCAGTGTATGCTCATGTGACCCAGGGTCCCCTGTCCAGGAGCAGAGCTCCATATCGTGATGGTGGGATGGGTCCAGACCCAGCCCAGCATCTCACCCTTTTTCCTGTGTTCTTGTCTTGAACACAGCAAAACGACTTTTACCCCATCGTGGGGCCGGGGCCTTTCTGGAAGAGGTTTCGGGTGAACTTCTGCGAGTTCACGGAGCTGCTGGTGCACCAGACACACTCCTCGGTGCTGTGTGACGGCCACCTCATGGACACGGTGATCGGCATGCTCAGTGGCCTCACAAACTCGGCCGTGTACAGCCTGCGGCACACCAGCTCCCTGGCCGGTGAGACACTGCACCGGGCCCCTGCCCCAGCTTTTGCTGACTTGGGGGCTGGCTGGGCCGTGGGGGCAGGGACCAGAGGACATGGGGGTAGGGGACATGGGGCCAGGGCCCACAGGGGCAGGGGCCACGGGACACAGGGAAAGGGCTGTGGGGCTGGGGCAGTGGCCAAAGGGCCACAGACATGGGGGCAGGGGAGATGAGACACAGGGGCAGAGGCCGTGGGAACAGGGGCATGGACTGTGGGGGAAGGGACCATGGGACACAGGGCCGGGAGCCACGGGACACGAACACAGGGGCAGGGGCCTCAGCCTGGGCTTCTGCTGTCCCGGGGCAGATGTCCACACCCGGGCCTGCCCTGTGCTGGCTTGCAGGGGGCAGAGGCTGCTGGCCGGGTGGTCACCAGGAGCTGGAGGGGATGGAGAAGCCATGGAGGGACGTTTGCTTCACAGAGGGACTGGGTGGCGAGTGGCACAGAGTTGTCCCTGTACATGTTCCACAGCAGAGGCTGTGGCAAGGCTGACGTTGGACAGAGGGTGGGCTCTTCAGTCCCAGGGCCGGCCCCCCAGGCGTGTCCTGTGCCTCTGTCCCCACGAGAGACCCCAGGCCAGCCCACACGGTCATGTCTTATCTGTCTGTCCCCATGAGAACCTACCCTAGTGTGTCCTGTCCCTCCGTCCCCACGAGAACCCCCAGGGCTGGCCCTCCTGGGCATGTCCTGTTTCTCCTGTACCGGGGGTATTAGGTTTTCTAAGTGAATAATTCTACAAATCGGGTTACTGGTTGGGTGTCGGTACCTGGTCTGTGTTTTCCACGAACACGTGCGGAGCGGTCAGTGCCAGCTTCTTCCTGAATGGACGCTGAGCGGTCGGTGCTGACTGGGGGACTTGCTCTTAGGCCGGTGGTTAGAGGACCTGTGCGTTTTGCGTCCTTACAGGAGGTGCAGCGGCCGTGGACGTAGCCGTCTGCGGAGTGATGCTCGCACAGGAACATTTGTAAGGGAGTGTCAGGATCTTTGCGCAGAGCCATTGGGAACCACGAAGAAATCCGGAGTTTGTGACGAGGAGGCTGTGGAGGGATGTGTCCCCCGGGGACTCCAGTCAGTCCCGTGTCAGACAGGTCCCTGAGGATTTAGGGCTCTTTCCATGTGTGTGTCAGGGTGTCTCAGCCACACAGTGGCTCCGTGTGTCTCGTTCCCATGTCTGGGTCTGCAGGGGACACGGTGTTCATGGTGCCACGTGCCCCGGAGTGGGGGGGGGCGGTGTCCTGCACGTGAATTCTGACCTTGGACTGCTGGTCCTGAGACACCACGTGTCCCAGTCGCAGCGAGGTTCCTTGGGCATTTGCAGCCTGCTGAGCTGGGGTTGTTCAGCTGAAGCCCGGTTCCTGCTGTGGTCCTGGCCCTGTGTCCCTCTGAGACCATTTCCCACCTGGTGGAATTCTGCCCGCTCAGGGCACAGACATGACCTTGCCGCTGGAAAGGTTGTGGGGTGTGTCCATGCCCTGGGGATGCTAAGATGTGTGCTCAGGTCCGCGTGCACAGTCATCATGTGGGGGAAACTGTACACAATCTTGTGACCCAGCAAGGGGCAGGACGCAGCGGCCCCCCCAGCCTCCCGACCTCCCAACTACCCCCAGACCCCCTCTGAGTGCTGCAGAAGGGTCCCTCCTGTGGGAGGTGGAGCCCAACGCGGGCTCATAGCTGGGGGTCCCAGCCCCAGGGTCACAGCCCCGCTCTGCTGGCAGCGATGAAGTTGCTGACGGCACTGGCCAGCGTGAACCAGGGCATCTGCACGGGCAGGCGCACGGCCCAGCGGTTGTACGAGATCGAGAGCATCACCAAGCTCAAGGGGAGGCACAAGTACTACATGGAGCTGCTGGACCAGCGCAGGCACGAGGTGTGGGAGCGTGGGGGGGGATGCAGGGGTGCGGAGGGGGTGTGTGCAGGGTGGGGAGGGAGAGATGGATGGGGGCAGGACACGAGTACTACATGGAGCTGCTGGACCAGCGCAGGCACCAGGTGCGGGAGCGTGGGGGTGGGGATGTAGGGGTGCGGTGGGGGCTGTGTGCAGGGGTGGGGAGGGAGAGGTGGAGGAGGGGAGACGAGTACTACATGGAGCTGCTGGACCCGCGCAGGCACCAGGTACGGGAGCGGTGGGGGGTGCCCAGGTGGGGACAGTAGGGGTGTACAGAGGTAGGAAGCATGGGGGAGTCTAGGTCTGGCCCGTCTCCTTGCTCCCCGGCCCCGCCCCCTTGCCCCCGGCCCCGCCCCCTTGCTCTGGGTTGGGGGCCCTCCCCAGCCCAGGCTGCCCCACGCGTGTGGGTTTCTGGTCGGTCAGGGTCAGCGGGGCGGCTGTGGCCACGTGCAGCGCCTGGTCCCCAGGACTGGGGAGTGTTCTCCGGGGTTAAGGTCTGCGCACAACTCGCCAGCGAGCGGGGGGCTGGTAAGCACGGTGTGGGTGCTTCCGCCTCCGGGCTCCAGGTCCCCCTCCCCTGTGGTTCTGCCCCATACTCCTCATCCCCTCCCCTCTTCACGCTCCCCCATCCCCCCGTACCCCTGCACTCCCAGCACTCATCCTGTTGCCTCCAGCCCTCAGCCCCTGACGTCTTCACTCCTGCTCCCAGCCCATTGTCCCTCACCTGTCACCCCTTCACCCTGCCCTTCACCCCACCCCTCACCCTGTTACCCCTTCACCCCCGCCCCTCATGCCACTGCTCACCCTATCACCCCATCACCCTTCACCCCTGCATCTCACCCCAGCCCTCGCCCTGTCAGCCCCTCACCCCACCCCTCACCCCTTCAATCCCCTCACCCTGCACCCTTCATCCGCTGCCCCTCATCCCCCTGTGCTGCCCCCAGCCCCTTCATGTCCACCCCTCATTCCATTGCTCTGTCCCACTTCACCCCTGCTCCCCCACCCTTTACCCCTTCCCCTCCGCTTTTTTGCCTGCACTCCGCACCCCTTTACCCCGCAGCTGGCCTCGTAACCCCCCTGTCCTTTCAACCCACCCTCCCACCTTTAGCCCAGAGCCTTCGCTTCTGCCGCCCAGCCCTTAGCCGATTTCCCGCACCCACACCCTCTTACCCGCCAGTCTCACCGCTTCATCCCTGCCCTGTAGGCCTGTGCAGCGGCACAGTGGGCTCCGATCCGGGCAGGCGGGACGGCCCGTGGTGCTCTGCACGCACGTGTGTGCAGAGGGACCCAGCGGGCTCCAATCCGGGCAGGCGGGACGGCCCGCGGTCCTGTGGTGGCAGGACCGTCCGTGTACAGGACTCAGATGCCTGACAGGGGGCGACCCCCCGGAGGCCGTGTGCGGGCTTCCCGCGAGCCGGCTTCCTACGTACCAGCCGCAGCTGCCTGGAGGCCACAGACGGCCGCTCCTGGCTAACACGTCTGCGCTTCTGCTCCTGCAGTTCCAGAACAAGCCCATGGCCATCGACAACATCATCTGTGCGCTCTTCAAAAGGACGTTTGTGCCCCGCTACCGGTAAGGGTTAGCCTCGATGCCATGCATGTACCCACGTGTCCCTGGAACCCAGGCCGTGACTTCCCCGTGTGTCCCCCGTCACCCAGGCCGTGACCTCCCCACATGTTCCCATCACCCAGGCCATGACTTCCCCGCGCGTCCCGTCACCGAGGCCGTGACTTCCCAGCGTGTCCCGTCACCCAGGCTGTGACTTCCCCGCGTGTCCCGTCACCCAGGCCATGTCTTGGCCTCACTCGGCATCACAGACACGTGACCCCACGGTGCTAGTGATGTCACGTGGCCGTTGGGTGACGCTCTCACTTCGCTTCTCAGCGACATCAGCTCGGACATCCGTGTGATCTGCATGGGGGAGCTGGGCTGCTGGGTCAGGCTGTACCCAGACCTGTTCCTGGACAACAACTACTTGAAGTACATCGGCTGGATGCTGTACGACAAGGTGCACGGCCCTGCCGCCCCGCCCCTGCGT